TTTTTTTTTTTCTTTGCTTTATTCAATTTTATTGCTGAAAATAACAACCACCCTTAAGAAACAAAAATAAAAACAGTACACAAATTATTTAAATTATAATTTTTTTCTATTTTAATTTATTTTAATTTCCCATTTTGTTAGTTTTTGCTTTCTTTGTTTTTGAAACTTAGTTTTTTTCGGCAAAGTATTTAAATGCTAAATATAATAAAACTTGCAAATGACTGTGACCAAGTTGTCTGAAATAAAAAACTTATGTATGGACATACGAGAAGAAAAACCGCAGGCATCTATTGAGAAGGCTTGATTTTGCAAAGAACATAAGGATTGGACTGAAGTGTGGCATTGTGTCATGTTCTCAAATAAAATACAATTTAGGTAGTTTGCAGCACACAAAGTCGATGTTTGCTGGCTACCAAACTCACACTCCAATCCTCGATACATTGCATTTTCTGTTAAGCAATATCCAGCAATTATTGTTTGGATGCAATTATTGCCAACATTTGTACTGGTTTGCACCTTTTACAACAAGGTGAGACTGTCAATTTTGTAAAATATTTAAAAGTTTTGAAAAACAATGTGCTTAATTGGTTTCAAATTAGAAATTTTGATGTTTTCATGCCATCATGACAAAAATTGTCAACACATGGCTCCAAGAAAACTTAATCTGGATTGTATTCTTTATAAATCTCAAACCTTTGTATGGATTACTCTTGCCATATCTGGAGCAGATCTTCGAATGATATCCTTTCTCTTTTAGACAAGGTGCAAGAATGCATTGTAAATATAGTTAGAACTGCTCTTGCAGCCAACCTTCAATCATTGTCACATCGTTTTAATATTGCTTCTCTTTCTTTTTTCTATAAATACTATAATGGGTGCTGCTCTAAAAAGCTAGCATCTCTTGTGCCATCTACTAAAATTTATTTTTTGTTACTCGTCATTCAATTAAGTATCATCCTTTAACTGTGACTGTTCCTAAATGCTCCAAAAATTCTTATTCATTTAGTTTTTTTCCTCAAACATCAGTTCTTTGGAATTTTCTTCCTTTATCTTGTTTTCCTGTTTCATATAATTTGCAATCTTTCAAGTCATCTGTTAATTATTATCTTGCTTTATAAACTTCATCTTTTCTCTTCCAGTAACTTCCAAATCTAATAGTGGTTGCTTGCAGCCTTGTTGGAAATGAAGATGTTTAAAGAAGAAGAAAAAAAAAACTTATAAAAAGTACATGCATTTACTATTACTTTTTTTTTTTTTTAATTAAAACATTTTCTAGTAATAAACTTCAACTAATAATAAATGCATACATTATACAGTACAAAAATGTTTAAAAAAAAGAGGTAAAAAAATTCTGGTAAGAAAAATATAATACCAAGATAATCAAATTATAATTATTAATGAAATCAATAAGAAAGTTTTTTTTAAATATAAATACAGTAGACTTTTATATATAATTTTCAGTTGTGTATAAAGTTTGCAAAAAACCATTAAATCAATTAAAATCATTGATTATTTACAATAGTTTAATTAAAATTGAAGTTTATGAAACAAGATAACGATTAAATGATGTTTTAAAAGATTGCAAGTTATACAAATCAGGAAAAAAAGATAGTGGGAACGAATATCAAAGAACTAGACAAATTAAATTTTTGGAACACATAGAAACAGTTGCAATAAAAGGATAAGACTTAATTAAATGATAAGTAACACAAGAATAAATTTTAGTAGATGGCACAAATGGTACTTTGCTCTTTAAAGCAGCACCCATTATAGTGTCAATAGAAAAGAGAAAGTGAAGCAACATTACAATGATGTGACAATGTTTGAAGGTCCAACTATGTTTAAAATGTGTTTTTGCAACTTGCCTAAAAGAGAAAGGGCATCATTCAAAGATCTGCTTCAGATATGCCAACAGTATTCCATACAAAGAAGGATTTGAGATTTAAGAGATAAAGAATAGAATCCAGAGTGAAAATGTAGCTAGCACGATAAAGAGATGCAACCTTGGCAGAGGCTAATTTTGCAATACATTTGATATATGGTTTCCACAAAAGATCGAAAGTATAAGTTAATCCTAGAAGACGAAGGGTAAATGACTTTTCGAGTGCATTACCGTTCATAAATATAAGAAAATCTAGATTGTTGCGATAACGATTAGCTGAAAAAATAATTTAGAGTTAAAGTTCACCAGCCACTGTGAGCTCCATGCTGTAGCAGAATAGAGATCCTCTTCAAGCTCAAAAGCCCCCTCCAAGCAATCAGAGAATGTTGGCATCTTATCAAGACAAGAATAAATGGTAGTATCATTAGCGAACAACGCCACCTTGTTGGAATTTCTGAGAGATAGGTAATGTAAATTAAAAAAAGTATAGGGCCAAGGATAGAACTTTGACGATCCCTTCATACTTAAGATACAAATGTTGGAAGGAAATGAATGTCAGGAAATAGATCAATCTGTTTGTCAACTATATCAGATAGGTTGTAATAAATGGAATTAAGAGATGAGATTGATGAAAAGTTCTTAGTAAAAAATTCAACTTTGTCTTTATGTGAGGTAACAAAAACTGATAAATTGCAATATAGGTGGAATTACAGATTTGTCCTTATAATACAAACTGTTAAAGGTTCTCCAAAAGTCTCTGGAGCCTAATTTTTGAGATGAAATACGAGATTTTGTTACCTGAGAATAATGGGCTTTGGTGTTAGACAAAACTTTTTTACAATGGTTTCTAGCAATTGTAAACAGACATCTGTTTTCTGAAGAATTGTTTTGGCAATAAATATGGAAGTAATGGCTACAATTGAAAATTGCAGTAACACAGCGAAAGGAAAACGACAGAGATGAGTGAGGCTTAATCATAGAGCCTAATCATAGAAAGGGAATAAAAGCTTTCATGCCAGCCTGAATCCAAGAAGTTACATAAGAAGCACATTTTTCAGCAGGAAGACAAAAGATTAATACCTAAAGACCATCACAAAGAAAATCACAGAAATAGACTAAAGTCAGTTTTAAGTTAGTTATAAGAGGTATGATGATAGGGGAATTCTGATGATGAAGAAGAATTAAATAATATTTTAAGAGAGATCAAACCATGATCAGAAGCTCTAAAGGGTGAATGTGAAGAAACTGAGCACTGACTAGATTCATAAAAAGAGATAAGTTGAGTAAATGTAAATGATTAAATCATTAAAAGGTAAATGATTCGGATTGTCTGGAAAGTGAGTTGAAAAGTTGAATATTTGTGTTAGAGATTAAGTAAGGCAAAAGTTGTAAGCCTTAACACCTGCAGGGTCACTGACACTAGAACCAAACCACGCAATGTTATGAACATTAAAGTCACCAACAACAATGATATTGGCTGTAAGGTAAAGAAAAAGAGCTTGGTCAATTTGATCAGAAATAATATTGAAAAGAGGACATTCTTGAGATGAAGGAGAGGAACATAAAACAAAGAGGAAGAGTAAAGTACACTATCTAATATTTATAAGTTTATTAACATAAAATTTAAAAGACTTTTTTTAAAACTATTTTTAGCTTATAAACATAAAATTAAATATATATATATATATATATATATATATATATATATATATATATATATATATATATATATATATATATATATATATATATATATATAAATATATATATATATATAAATATATATATATATATATATATATATATATATATATATATATATATATATATATATATATATATATATATCTGTGTGTGTGCGTGTGTGTATATTAGGCAATAATAAATTAGTAGAAAGTCAGTCAATTTTTTTATTTTACACAGTGTTTCCTTAATAAAGATTTGTCAAAAACAAATGCTCAAATTAGTAAACTTCAATTTATTTATTAAATTACAGGTCATAAGTCATAAATGTCTTAACTACTGTTTCACACATAAGTGGTGTTACACACCATAAGTGGTGTTACACATATTTGTTGAATACGTTGACAGTATTATAAAATGAATTCTTAAGTATTGTTTGTTTCTGGGGTTTTTTTTATGTATAAATACATTTTTAGTGAAGATTTATATAATTTTTTATTAGTTTTATTTTAAGGTATGTAAATATGTATATTAATTTTTTTATTTAATGTATATAAATATTTATATATAATATAAATATATATATGCATTTATTTAGCTATTATTACTATACAATAATTAGGGTGACCATTATCCTCCTATTTATGTAGGGAAGCGCCATAAAAAATTTCAACTAATTTTTGTACTGCACTCTACTGGGTAAAAAAGAGGACGTTGAAAAGGAGGGCGTTGATAACCGTACAATAATAAAAACATACACTTACATGTTACTATAAAACCAATATATTTCTCATCAGTTTTTATTTGTTTATCTCTTTACTTCTTCAGTTATAATTTTAATAAATTTCAGAAATTAACCTTCATTAAACATATTCATTTTTTTAATTTGATGTTAGTAAATGAAACATTAAAATTATTAGATTAAAAAGAAAAATCTTGAAAAGTCAACTTAAATTGTGTAAACATAACCACTTAAATTGTGTAAATAACACAACTTAAATTGTGTAAATAACACAACTTAAATTGTGTAAATAACACAACTTAAATTGTGTAAATAACACAACTTAAATTGTGTAATTAACCACTGCGCTATGAGCAGCCGTGGCGCAGTATTTAGACTTCTGACTCAGAACCCAGAGGTCTGAGGTGTGACGCCGGCTCTAGCCCAATAAGCGACATTGGTAAGGAAGGAGGTGTGAACTGTCATGATTAACTACAAGCTGTCAATTTTAGCTATCACTTTTATCATCTGTTTTTTATCTGTTTATTTATTTGTTTTTTATTGTGGCAAACTTATTAAAATACTCAACAAATTTAGTTAATAAATATGATCATTAAATTGTATTTAATATATAAAAAATATTTAAATAAGTAATCATTAAAATAAAATTGATTGTGAAATAGCAGAACTTTTATTGTAAATAATTTTCTCTAGATAAAATCTCGTTTTAAATCAGGATCCCTTAAAGACAGAGCATTGCATTGTGGACCTTATGAGTTAAAGAGAGACTTTGCTGCTGTTCTTGCTCAACAATTAGTAAGTAGAATATACAACTATTAACTATACAAATATTAATCAATTGTAATTTAAGTAAATCTACAATTTTTTTTTTTTTTTTTCTGCCTTTTTTTTTTTTTCAGTTATTGTTAGACACACTGTTCATGTTAATTTTAAAAAAGATTCAATTTAGCCTTAGCTAAATTTGCCTTTTTTTAATATTTAGTAGTAATTTTTAATATTTGACAAATTGAAACACTAAAAAACTATTTATATAGTTATTTTTACTTTTTTGTACTTTTGATAGTAGTGGTTAAAAGTTTCAGAAATTTTCTTTTAAATTTTCTTTTTGTCTCTTCTGCTGTGACATCCCAGTTCACTAAATTAATACAATTTTTAATACAAATTTATATTTTATAAGGAGATCTCCTCAGCTGCAACTCATTTTAGATCATTTGGTTTTGGTTGTTAGATCACTAGCATATATGATTTAATGTTTGTCCTTTATAAGATATGGGCACTAGGCTTTATGTTACTGGTGGGGTATTTAATTGAAAGTTTAGCAAAGTATATATTTGTTTGTTTGTTTGTTTTTATCCAAAATTATTTTTTTTTAGACACTCATTTTAAGACAAGTTTAATTGGCCATTGGGCCACATCTGTCTCATTGTGTTTATGTCTTTGATAATTGGTAGTTGTGTTCCAAAGTTTGTTGTTTAACTATTTTTCAATAATTTTAATTAAATTTAAAAACAATTCTCTGCCGCAGACATTATTTCTTAGCTTGGGAAGTCTGGTTTCTGTTAGTCACTTATTAATATTACAAAAGAATTTTTTTCAAAAGCAACACTTTTTCCTCAAAATTTTTCATTTAGAAAATAAAATATGAAACCTTTTTTTTTTTTAATTTTTCATTTAGAAACGCTTCAATAAAGGGGAATACCAACTTGATAATATAAAAAGTCTTCAAAACAATGTAAATGAAGTAAATTCCATTATGACTCAAAATATAGGTATGTAATTTTTATTATCATAAAATTAAATTTAATTAATGTAATTAGATTTATCATAAAAAATAAAAAAAGTCAAATTTAACTGTATACAAATGAAACCAATTTCAAAAAAAAATTTAAAGTCTTAAGATATAAGATATAAAATATAAAATGAAAAAGATATTTATATTAAGATATAAAATATAAAATGAAAAAAAGGAGAAATAATTCAGATTAAAACAATTATTTCTCATTATAATTAAAGTTGTTTTATATCTTTTATATCAAATACAAACATTACAAAAAATATTTGTGATTTTTTTAATATACGCTTACTAGTTTTAATTTAAGTTTTTTAGATTAATTTTTTTTTGTAAAACTTCATTAAAATTTCATTATATAAAAGTGTGTTTTTTTTAATCAATTTTTTTTTAATCAATAGTGTTAGACTTATCAATATCAATATTTTTTTTTTTAATCAGTAGTGAATTGATTGACTTATCTAATTGGTTGCTATACGATTTTTTTTTTCCATTAAAAAAATTAAAACTATTTAAAAAAGAATTTTTCTTAATAAAAATACATTATTATAAAAATACATCAAGAAAATTATTTTACGTTTTATTTATTAACCATTAATTGGATACTTTTGAGTAAACTGATTAAGTAAATATTTTTGAGTTATTAATCGAACTGAATAACTGGATACTTTCGAACTGACTGATTAACCACATTGGATCAGATATATTTGGTGTAAATAATGTCACTTTTATATCTTTTTTTTTTTTTTTTTAAAGAAAATGAATTGGCATTTTTTAAAATTCAATTTTAATTTTATTGGTATACATTTATTATTTAGTTTTAATCAAAACAATTTTGCCCAAACATTTTTTTTTAACATTTTCTTTAATATGAATACAACTTGTCATGGCACTTGGGAGTCCCTTTAAGTTTTATTATGAAAAAATATTTAAAAGGTGAAAAAAAGGTGATTTTTTATAAAACTAAAATCAGCTAGTTTAAAAATGAAAAATAAAAAGAAGGCACAGTGGGCCAAACATATGTTTTCACAGACATTAGTATATAACTTTTGAATGGAAGATGCTATGGGGTTGGTAAAGGATTTTTTGGAAAGATTTTTATGTGTAAATTTTGGAAAAACTAAATATAATTTTGCTGCAGGATATATTTAGGTCATAATTTAAATGAACAAAATATTGAGAATTTTATAAAATTTGCTTTTTCATTGTTTATAACAAAAATAAATGTTTATAAATATGTATGTATATTTTATATTATAATTAAAGATTTTTTTCTTGAGATTCACTCATGTATTAATCTTAATATTTTGTTATTACCTTTTAACCCTGAATCATAAAGATTTCCCAAGCCAATATCCTCATTATTCAAAATATGCTCCCAAGAATGACCAATCAGTTTGTGAAGTGGTGATGTTATACTGCTCCATGGTCCAGTTAAATTTATTTTTGGAACAGAGGAAAATTTAATAAATCAATAGCTTTTATGCAATAGTTCTACAACCTGTTGTTGTTAGTCTGTTGTTATTGTTGTTGTTAGTCTGTTGTTGTTATTGTTGTTAGTAGTGATTTCGCCGGTTATCCAGTTTTGCGGTTAACCCGATTTTGTTTGAATATCAAATATCTATTTTCGAATAATAAAAACCGACAAAAATTTTACAAAATTTTATAAAAAGTAACAACCTAATTATGATGATTATTGTTTGACAAATGTTAATTTATCAAAGATTATAATATATTTCTTTTATTAATTTAAATGTTAATTTAATCAGTTTGATTTGATAATATATTCTTAAAACAATTTACAATAGAAATCTCAAAGATTTATTTATTACTTTTGCAACTCAAGCAATACATTTTTAAGAAAGTTTCTTCAGAATATTCTGGAACTCTAATTTGCTTATTCAGCGTATTTTTTGAACCAATAAAATTTGTTTATTCGTAGATTTGGCAGTATTTTAGTGTTCGCAAATATTCTTTATATTATCTTTCCGCAACAAGTTGTTTTGAGAACATTCAAGTTTATCTATGTTTCCATCTATGTCCGCATAACAATGAGTTTTTAAAATACATGCTAAAAAAATTTACTTCATAATACCTCATTTTTCCAAATCAAATGTTTTTATATGAGAGAATGATTTTAAAACATCCGCTGATATTAAAACATTTAAACTATACTTGTACATTATTCCTACCTTTTTTAATTATATAATTAAAAAGGTGTATTATATTATAAAATAAAAAATGTATTTATCTTTTTCCATGTTTTGTTATAAATATATAATATAGGACTGTATTCACTAACTGTCTTGAAAATGTATTCACTAACTGTCTTGAACACTTTAACATTAATTTTTAAAAAATTAGTTTAAAACGCTACATTCGTTGAAATTTAGAAGATCCTGTATTCAGAAAGCGTCACTAATTTACTGAATAGTTGGTTAACCGAAAATTGATGAGAACTGTTATCCGGTTTTTGAAATGGATAACCGACGAAATCACTAGTTGTTAGTCTGTTGTTGTTGTTGTTATTGTTGTTGTTGTTGTTGTTAGTCTGTTGTTGTTGTTGTTATTGTTGTTGTTGTTGTTGTTGTTAGTCTGTTGTTGTTGTTGTTGTTGTTGTTGTTGTTGTTCCTCTTTTTCCAATTATATCAGGATAGTCCCATTTTATACCTATTTTATTTAATATCTCTATTTGTAGTCTCTGTTTCAGAAATCTATTTGAAGCACTGAAAGGGGACTCAGACTAATCAAAAACACCAGCTTTCACATGTACAACAGTCTTCATGAAATGGTCAAATGTACCCAGTAAAGTATGAAGAACCTAAAAAATATTAGTAGTTTTATAAATATAATAATATTTAATATCATGTATGTTCCTATATTAAGAATATAATAATATAAACACTATTACATGATAACAATTTACTTGTATTGGTTTTACATCACCGGTTAGAATTGGTTTGAAGGTTTGTGCAGCCCTTATGATATAATTGTTTTTTTTTTTTTAAGTAAAGAACCGTCTTCTTGTTCAGGTTGGTTGAACATTTCATTTATAGCTATAGTGTCTCGATTCATTACAAAACCATTTTTAATTCTTTCAATATTCAAACACTGATCTTTTGAGTATGTGCCTAAATCAAAATATACACCTTGAACTCCTAAAAAAAGATTCGCTGTTTTTATATCTATCATATATGACTGTACCATATGACTGTACTACATTCACATTAAATTTCCCCCTTTATACATAAGGAAACCTTTATTTTTTAACTCTTCAATATTAGAATAAAAGACAGACAATTATTGGAGAGTTTCTTTTGATTCTTTCCTATTTAAAGACTCAGCGCTCTGTGACTCAGTGGGGGATTTGGTAACTTTTGCAACCATATTAACAAACTTGCTTCTGTTTCAAGTGAATGTGGACGAAACATTGTCATTATGATATTGCTACTGTTAAAATTGTCTTTTTGATTAAATATTGCATGGCTTCTACTACCATAAAATCTAAACTTTATTTTCATTAGTATATTGTCACTGTTTATACCTAAAAAAGTGTTCTCCAATATCCTTTAAATTGTCAGTTTAACAGCCTGGAATAGTTTGATGTAAACACCAAAATAAGGTTCAAGATACTTCATAATAATTTGTTACTTCAAATTGTTTTATCCTGAAATGTTTCTAGCTAGGCAGTATATTGGAGCCAGCAGTTGAAAGAAGTTTTCATTAATTTGTATATGAATGTCTACCAAGAGCACATTCTGTATAAATTGACATTGTTTCAATTGGAACCTTATTGAAAGAGTTTTAAAAAAATTTTGATTCATTATTTAATAACTTTTTAAACAAAATGATTTCAACTTAAAATAATATAATCCAAAATTTAAACAAGTTTACGTGATAAGTAAAAACATTATATTATTTATTACTATGTACACCGCAAAGCCCTCAGTTTTAATTTAAATTTTTTTTTTTAAACATCTCGCTTCCAACAAGTCTGCAAACAACCACTAATTAGAGTTGGAAGTTACTAGAAGAGAAAAGATGAAGATTGTAGAGCAAGATAACGGTTGACAGACAACTTAAAAGATTGCAAATTATATGAATCAGGAAAGCAAGATGAAGGAAGGAAATTTCAAAGAACTGATGTTTGAGGAAAAAAACTAGAGGAATAAGAGTTTTTGGAGCACTTAAGAACAGTCATAGAAAAAGGATGAGACTTAATTGAATGATGAGTAACATGAAAATGAATTTTAGTAAATAGCACAAGAGATGCTAACTTTTTAGAGCAGTGCCCATTATAGTATTTGCACCTTGTCTAAAAGAACAAAGAGAAAGGTGATAGAGTGAAGTGGTGCTAATCAAAAGCACATAAAAGAATAGTCTGTGGATTCAAGTTTAGTTTCCTGACAAATGGGTGAATTCTTACGAATGTAAATGCCGAGGCCAAGCATGTGACTATTGGAGTCTTAACAAATTAAAGGAAGATAACCATCAATACTGAGATCACAAGATGAGACAGCTGAACTCAAATTAGTCTCACAAAGAGCAAGTAAGTCTGGTGAACTTTGCAAGAGATAAGAATCAACAGAAAAAAACTTACTTCAAAGACCACAAATACTAGTGAATGATAGATTTAGAGAACTTGATGATAACAATGGTTTTTTGTGTTTTATAGTTATTAGCACTTTAGTCTTTTTTAAATTTGTTAAAGAACTTGAGTCGAAGTATAGATAGTACTTAGTACACTGTTTAATAGCTCAAGCAATTGTCTCATTACTATTAAGAAACCCTAAGCCGTAACAAAGGGCTCCAAATGTCACCTTGACAATACACACCAAAAGTACAAACAGGCACACCATCCATGCGCAACATGGTGCTGTTAATACTTTGATATTTTTCAGCTGTTAATGCAATCAGCCTCTCTGAGAGCTACCACAGAGTTCGGGAAATCTGACTACCAGCCGGCCTCAGTATCATAAAACTGAGTTTTAGAGCTGTACCCTCATTAAGAGATAATAGAATGAGTTGAATAGTCATAAAAACAGACACAAGCAAAACCCATGCATTGAGTCAGAAAGATCCAGTATTCAACATCCTAAACTGGAAACAATGTATTAAAAATACATCTGCACCAGCCTAATAGATGAAGAAGGGGGTGTGAGGCTGGTCAACAGATAGAATCTGTTTACCCCTTAAGTCTTTGCCTAAGAGGCCTTTCACAAGACAGTGGCCGGATGCATTTAACATTTGTCCGATGCATTTAACATCTTGGAATTCCTCATTTTAAAACAGATTTCGATGCTGTAATATTTTTTTTATTAACAGTTGTACTAACTAGATTAATTTTGGTCCAAAAGTAGTTCAATGGAAAAGAGGGCTAGGGGGGTAGAGACGTTAGTCAAAAATTGATCTTAATCCTTTTTTTAATTTCTAGACACTTTTACTGAACACATCTTCCCCTTATAAAATATCTACAAAATAATGTAAAACTATTTAAACTAAAGGGGTATGGTCATTCTTTTACTTATTTTGTTTAAAAGTGCTAAGTCGCACAATTTAGTTATATGGGTTTATTATATAATTCAATATAATATAATTCAAAATATAAAAAGTTTACATAATAAGTAAAAATATTATACTATTATAAAGCCCTTAGTTTTGATTTTAATTCCTGCAATCCGTTCATTTTAAAACTGATTTAAATGCTGCAATATTTTTTTTTTATTAATGGTTGTACTAACTAGATTAAATTTGGTCAAAGATAAAAAATTCAGTGGAAAATAGGGCAAGGGAGGAGGGGTGGAGGTGTTGGTCAAAAATTGGTCTTAATCCATACTTTAATTTCTAGACATACACTTTTACTTAACATATCTTCCCCTTTAAAATATATGTACAAAGAAAATGTAAAACTATTTGCGTTAATATTTGCATTAATATATTTTACAAAAATTTAAACTAAAGGGGTAGGGTCATTCTTTTCCCTTTTTTTTAAAGTGCTAAGTTGTCGCAATTTAATTAAAAACAGCTTATTCCTTTTTGTTAAAGGAGTTTTAAAACAAGGTTTACTAGAACATATGGGTTTACTAGTGCCAACTTAGCACTTTTTGAGATAAAATTTTTTCTGATAAAAAATGAGTTAAAAAACGCTAAAAGTTTGCTAAATTTTATTTGTTTTACGGGTAATCTATGAAGTTAACATTCACATTTCCCTAAACTGTAGTCTAAGATTGTTTCTACATACAATTATCACATTAGCATTGCTTATATAGTGACATTTTTTCTTATATAATGCCAAAAATGACTTTTATGTATCATTTATTCCTATTACCTATCTTTTGCAACAAATTTACATTATTCAAACTAGTATATTTTCTGAACAAATTATGCTTTTGAAATTATTTTTTTTAATAAACTGTAAATAAATTTGGCTTTCAATATCAACTAAGTTTTACTTTAGTAACATTGATATCCACTGTTAGGCCCACTCTTGGAGGAGGGGGAGGGGTGTGTAAAACAGAATAGCTCATAACTATTTACAATAGCTCAATATTGAAACAGATAGGTGATCAAAAACTAAAAAAGATATTTTTATATTGTTTTTCAATAAAATTTTTGTCTGGGTGTTGCCCAGACAAATATTTAGCTAAATCATGAAGTTACAGCTGTAAATATTTTATTTTTACAACCAAATAGTTATATTTAAATTTTTAGAAAGATTAGATGTTAGGCACCAAATATGGGCAACAAAACTTAATTTCTAGCCACATTTAGAGATATTTGGGTACGGCCTAGAACTCATTATTATGAGATATGATTGACACTTATAATTAAGAGATGCCAGCAGTTCTGACAGAATGTTATGGCAACATGAATAAGACATTAGAGTAGATCAATTACAATGAGTATAGTTAGATCATCTGTTGTGATATAAAAGCACTTAGTGCCCCCCTCTCCTGGATCCGAACCTGATATGTATGGTATATACTAATTAAATCTCATTCAATAAAATCTAATAAGAGATCAATAAAAAGCAGAATGCATTAAACTTCATTATTAAAAGTATCAAGTCAGTCAAAGAAAAGTATTTTAACTAAGAATAATAATTAATGATGAATTTACTTTTATAACTTACAGTGAAGATTTTAAAATGTATAGATAATACTATTGAATTTTAAAAAAATGCCTGTGTTACATGTATAATATATAAATTAAGTGGTGTCCTACAGACGTTACTTGATTTACATATTATACATGCTAGCTTTGAGCAAAAAACCAAAAGCAAAAAAACTTGTAAAAGGGTCTAAGGATCTAGTACTATCTAATCTAATATTAGGTTCTTTTTGCTTTAAATTGTCAGATGGAATAAAATTTATACTTTGAAAAGTTTAGCAATATGAATATAATAGAAGCAATTCGTTGTAAGTTTTCTGCAACCTATTGTTCCTCGACAATCAGAAGCTTTTTTTATTTTCCAGGCAACCAGAAGTATGACATGATCACACTTACGATTGTCTAACAATTTTCGTTTTAAATCATAAAATTTTGCGTTTTTGCATTGATTCTTACTCTATCTATTTTTTTTTGTTTTATATGATGTTTTAGAGTCTTTCTTGACCAAGCCCTTTTACTCAACAATGATTTTAGTTTTAAAATTTAATAAGATCAGCAGATGTATAAGCTTACTAAATTTATTATGGCACCTTACAATAAACATTGCTAAATTAATTTCTAGTGTGTGTCTCTACAATCTTACTATTTTTTACTAACTGTGGTTACTCACAACAACTCAATTAAACCGCATTTACTATTTTTATAATTGAGTAAATCAAATAATATTAAACGTAAATAAAAGTTCAAGTTTTAATATCTGCCGCATTCTATAAAGTGCATTCATGCAGCCAACACAAGAAACAACAAAATATTGCTGAGCGTGTCTAAAGTAAGGCTTGAAACCTCAAAGAAGTGTATCTTTTACTAAGGAGTAATTTTATATAATCAGCTACCACACAAAATTATGAACCAAAGAGAATTTAAAACAATGCAAATGAACATTTTTAATTTTTAAACTTTATTTCATTCTATAATATATCTATAATTTTTTCATATTATTTAATATTTTTTATTACCTATTTGAAATGTTGAATTTTTATTTTGATATATCTAGGCCCAATATAAAAACAGCCTAATTTATTTTTTTTACTGAATTGCCATTAGCTGTATAACGATTAGGATTCATTTTGATTTTATAAAAAAAAAATGGTAATGTGCAAGCAATAGCCTGGAACCAATAACCATTATGTGTTTTTGGGAGATAATCCATAATGGTAGTCTTAAATATGAAAAAAATGAATTTGGTTTTCTTATACTTTGAAAAAAAATATTGTGCTCAAGATAAGTCTTTGTCACTTAACCACAAGGTTTGTCACTAAACCACGAGGTTTGTCACTTAACCACAAGGTTTGATAACCATATTCTAACAAACGTTACCTTGGCTAGTTTATATCTTTCATTTGATTTGGAATTGGTTTGATTTCATTGGATTTTAGACTATGATATCCTAAAAAAATTATATATCATCTCCGATATATATATCAGTTAGGATATATACAACTGATATATATCCTATATATATCGGAGACTACAACTGAGATTTGGAGACTACAACTGATATATCTGCAAAAAAATCTTGTTGTATTTTTTGCCAGAATTTTTCAGAAAACTACAAATTTTTAAATTAACTTAATAATAATATAGTGTTGTATTATTTTACGTGTTTATAAGACAACCATCTGAATTCTAATTATTGAAAGTTTTTTATTCGCATAATTTGTTATTATGTTTTAACTTTTTTTAAAGAAAAAGTTGTAGAAAGAGGTGAACGCTTAGATGTGCTTGTAGGAAAAACTGATGAATTATCAAGATCGGTAAGTTTTTATTTCGTATTTTGAATGAAGTTTTTTTTTTCTGCTTGCCGAAAATCAGTTTTTAAAATCCGAAACACATTTGAAATTTAATATTAACCTTTTTATGAAAAGATAAAGTTTAACAATTATTTATAGGTTTATTTTTTAAGTTAAAAGTACTAACTTGTTAAATATATTTAATTTTTTGTCTTAAGTTACATTATTCAGATTAGTTTTTTACCTTCTAACCCTATTATTTTTTTAACGTAAATCTTTGTTCTTCATGAAGTAAAGATTTGTTACAAAAAGATGTTCAAACCAATGACTATTAGTTTAAATTAAGGTTGCAAACAATAAATTCTGTTTTTTAAAAAAATTGTATATTAGTATTAATATAAATTATTTTTTATTATTTTTTAATGTTAACAATAATTTAAAGTTTGAATATTCGATTTCTCAATTTGTCAAATTAAAAATTTGTAAAACAGTTTATAAAATTTTATGACTAAACATACTATGGAGAAATTGGAGTCATCAGCAGACAAATTTTGATATAAAATTGTTATTTTAGGTGTATGAAACGGGAGGCTGAATAAAGTGCGAACTGACATTAGTGCAAAGCAGTTGAAAAAACTGACATAGGTACACCACAAAAATTTTTAAATATTGGCATAAATGCGAATTGGTATAAGTGCTAATCTTCATAAATGCAAACCATAAATTGGCATATGTATGAAATGGCATATGTGCGCCGAAAAAATTTGCAAAAACTGGCACAAGTGCGCCAAAAGAATTTAAAACATTGTTGCGAATCCTTATGGCAATTCTTACTTGTGGCAATGTTTGCAAATTCTTTTGGCGCATTTATACCAGTTTTTTAAATTTTTTTTTTAAGTTTTTTCGGCTCAAATATACCAGTCTGCACATATGTCAATTTTTGGTTTGCATTTGTGAAAAATCGCACCTATGCCAATCTTTGCAGATCCTTTCAACGCACTTATGCTAGCTTTTGCAACTGTTTTTCACTTATGACAGTTCAAAAAATATGTCAATTTGCAATATTAATTATATCAGTTTGCACTTACGCTGATTCTCACTTTTGCTAATGTTGGCAAATTCTTTCGGCGCACTTATGCTTATGCCAATATTTTGAAAATTTTTCAGCACACTTGTGTCAGTTCACATTTATGCCAGCTTTTGCGACGACAGTTTTTATTTTGAAAGATTATTTTTTAAAATATTTTTATAATGTTATTTAAATAAAACGACTATTAAAATGATGGTATGTCGTTAATCATGATATTTAATTTCTCTTTAGTCAGAATCATTTGGTATTGTATCTCGTCGTTTAAGGAACAAGCATTGGTGGCAAAATAAGAAAATGTGTATTGTTTTCTCATCGGTTGCAGTCATTGTTATAGTTATTATTGTAATTATTGTTCTTTTCGAAACAAAAGTATTGCGAACATAGCGCGGCATTTTTTTAAAAATTTGATAATGGCTGCTTGTTTTCTTCTCCAAGTTTCACTGTAACTTTGCGTTTTTGTTTTTTTTAATTCTTAAGCGCTGTATAAATAATTTTCTTGCGACAAAAATGTAAAAAAAATATTTTGAATTAATGTTTATGCAAATTTTTACTAAAATTGTTTATTTATTTAAAAGTTGAACCTTTACAAAGACCTATATATAAAGTGGTAATAATAAAAAAAAACAGAAACTTTCTGAACTTCATATTTTCAAGATAAAATCAACATTGCATGAATTTTTATGACATAGAAAAAATAAAAAAAGTATGCTGTATTTATTTATTATTTAAAAAGTAAAATACAGTACAATACAGTATAGCTATGTTGCAATACTGCAACACTATGCGTTGATTTCAATGTATTTTTACCTAAGTTTTGACTGCGATTAACAAGTGTGTTTTATTTCTGTAACACTATTCATTTAAGGATAAAGAACTTGTCGCAATAAAAAAAACGAAGTAACTAAAATTACGCAAAATGTTAAGACAATTAACGTTAAATTGATTTTATAAATTGAAATTATAATTTATAATTGTACACATTTTACACGTATGTTGTAAAATGTGTAAAATTATAAAACGTTACACTTTTAAACTTTCTAAAGCCGTTATGTTAATGTCTGCTCCTAAGTCTCAATAATTCAACGCTTTATTCCAATAACTCCATAATTCAACGCTTTATTCCAATAACTCCATAAAATAAAAAAGTTGAGAAAAATTAGAAAATATTGTATATCATTTTACAAACATTTTTTTAGAAAGAATTCACCATTTACTTGTGTTAATAACAATCTGAGAAACTGTTTTCGAAAACTTCAAATTTTTAACTAATCTTGGGATTCTCATGTTGTAATTTTTAGTAACAAAACAAAACGTAGCGCGTAACCTATCGTGATTTTTCGTAATTATTTTTCGACTTTATTCACAAATCGTTATTAAATTTTTTTTCTTAATAGTTTACCTTTTTTTTTTTATTTTATATGTTAACTGCAACTTGTCTATTGGCTTGGCTATTATTACTTGTGACTTGTTTATATGAGTCAGTTGATTTAGGCAAGGTACCTTCATTGATTATTTTGTATCGACTATTTCATTTTGAACTGATTTTTTTTTAATAAAATTAAAAAAAACAAGTTCATAAAATAAAATTGTAAACGGTTACAAAAATATTGTGATTATTTTCAAAAAATTGCGAACTAACTATTTTTACGAAAAATTGCGACAAACTACACCTTTTCAAGATGTAATTGAGAACTTGAAAGTTGTAATTAAGATAAGTAAGATGTAATTAAGAAATTCAACTTATAATTTAGAAGTCGATATATGTAATTAAGAAACACAACACATGTTATTTTAGGAAATTTTAAAATAAAATTGAGAAACCCAACATGTAAATAAAGAATCGCAATATGTTACTAGAAAAACAAAAGTTGTAATTAAAAAATCGTAATATGTAAATGAGAATACATTATTTGTAACTGCGAATTCACAATGTAAGCTTAAAGGTCATTATAAAAGATTTTCTTGAACATTTTAATAAGTTAATAACATCAAGTTTAGCATTTTGCACCAGCAATACAGTAACGAAATTATTTGTGTTTTATTTATTATTCATCTGAAATCTCAATTAAATTTTTCACAAACAAAAATAAAAGAAAGTTTTAATTGACACCCAATCGGATTTTTCCAGTGACCTAAACCTCAAATGCCTTTTTCATGACTTTTTATATTTTATTGATATATTATTATTTCCAGCCTTAAATTACAAAGTATATCAGGACTACAAAATTAAAATACAAAAAACTTTGTATTCTTTATGCTTTCCTTAATTACAACTATCATGTTCGCAATTACATTTTACGATTTTTTATTTACAACTTTCATTTTCTCAATTACATCTGAGGTTTCTTAATTACAACTTTCAAGTTCTCGACTACATCTTGAAAAGGTGTAGACAATCTAAAAAAGATACAGTTTTTTTTTTTTTAGTTTAAACTTTGTTGTTGTTGTTGTTGTGGTTATTAAGGTGCTTCCAGAAGTCCTTACGGTCTTATCTCAGAGCACCGCGGAAGAGCATTTCAAATTTACTAAAAAAAAGTTTAATAAAAAAAAAATGTAGTGTACCCCAAGGTTCCATTTTTGCTCCTCTTTTTTTTTTTATATATAAACAATCTTCCAAATGCCTCTAATATCTTTAAAACTATAATGTTTACTGACGATATAAACTTATTTTATTCATCAAAGACAATTGAAGAGAGGTCTTGAAAAAACAAATGTTGAACTAAAAAAAATTAATATATGGTTTAAATAAATTTTCACTCAATGTAGAAAAAACTAAGTATATGCTATTCCAATCTAATCAACAAGTTAAAAAAATATTCCTAAACCTACCAATAATTAATATAGAAAATATAACCATCAAAAGAGCTCTAAATACAAAGTTTTTAGGGTTCAAATTGACGAACGCTTCTCCTTGAAGCCCCACATTAACTACATAAAAACAAAAAAATCAAAGAACATAGGTTTAATCTACAAGAAAAGACCATTTTTGTCATAATAGAACCTAAAACTTGTTTACTTTTCATACGTATATAGCTATCTTATGTATGCCAATATAGCATGGGGTACCCACAAATCTAAATTAGAACCACTTTACTTACGTCAAAAACACGCTTCAAGACTAGTGTACAACAAAAACAAATTTACTCATGCTCAACCCTTACTGGAACAAATACACGCACTAAAAGTGTTTCAAAAAGGTATTTATCGAAATATACTTTTCATGTTTAAATATAAACTAAGTTTCAAACTGGTTCCAGAACATTTTACAGCACACTTTTTTAAAAGCAGTATAAATAAGTACAATACAATAGCAAGAGGCAATTTTATAATACCGTTTGTAACAACAAGATTCTCAAATTTCTCAATTACATATCGTGGTCCCTATTTATTTAACAAAATAATTTCCTAAAACGAATCACTAATAAATTTAAACAACGAGCACTCTCTGAAAATAAAGCTAAAATCTACAATAATTGAATTAAACAACTATAAGGAATTTTTTTAAATTCAAAATAAAAATCTAAATATGAAAATAACAAATAACAACCCTCATAGAAAAATAAAAAAAGTAAGAAAAATGAAACTTAACTTTTTAATAGAAATTGATAAAAAAATACTAATAATAAGGTATATATGTAACAGATACATATATTATACCATGTATGCAACTGATTTTTATGTGCATTACACGTCCAGAAAAAAGGTACTCGATGACAAAACTGACTTCAGTCTTCTGCGAGCTTCCTATACCAACTAACAAGTAATTCTTTTTATCAATCTTACACAAATTTTGTTTTTATCATATTAATATAGAACCATTATTTTGAAATGTGGCAAACAAACATATAGTGAAATACCTTATCATATCTCCAAAAATTAGCAGATTCATTTTTATTTGTTGTATTTTTTATTTTAATTAGAAGAGTTTAGAGATATATTTCTAAGATTATCACTTTCACATTATTATATTGTTGTACTTGATATTTATTTTAATAATGTCTCGGAGTTGTATGCAACTATATATATATATATAGTTATATGCAACTATATTTATACGTATATTTTTAACTTTATATTTATCATATTTATATTTGTATATCTTTACCGCCAATCTGTGATTAGTTACTTGTAAAAAAAAAATATGTTTATGATGCCACTTCGACTGCAGTAATGTTGATAAGTAAAACTTTTTTTTATTCTTTAGCTGTCTTTAAATGTATTAAAAGATGTCTTTAAACGTTCGAAAGACGTTCAGAATATTCAGAAAAATCATATTTACGTTATGTGCCCACTGGACTTTAGAACAAGAGCATCTATTGGATTACGCTTTAAGGAGGGGGGGGGGGTTTGGTTGTTTTATGACGACTCATTTAAAACGCGCTTCTTAAGTGTTACGATTTTGTGACAAGGTAGGGGGGGTCGAAAATGGTCAAAAATTGCGTAACGTAATTTATGGACGATCCCCAAGGCAATCTGGAAAATTGAAAATTTAGCCCAATTTAGTTAAAATTTGGCCGGTTGGTTTTTATGCCTAAGGCCGCCTGATCTGAGGCAATCTGATCAGGAAATTAAGAAAACTAGGCCTAAAACTTGGCCGATTATGTTAAGTTTAGGCATAAAAAGTCTGGAAATTAAAAAAATTTAAAAATTTGCTTGAAATTTGGCCGATTGGGATATAGTTTACGCATAAAATGTGTGCAAAATATTACACTTAGCATTTCTTTCTTCAAGTGTCTAATTTAAAATGTCTAAGATTTTTGATAATGTGCGAATTGCATTAGAGAGAAGCGATAAAGTTACATTCGAAAAGATTAACAAGAAGTATTCCATCCAAGTTGATTCTTTATGTTTTTTGCATCCATTAATTAATCAAGTTCATCTTAAGCGAAATATTTGCGCTGAAGCCTACTTAAACAAAAATGCAAAATCGGATAAATTAGTACCTATTCTGTAAGTTACTATTTGTTTATACTGCTTTATTTACATTAAGTTATTTAATTAGAGGTTTTTATCAGATTAGCATTAGTATTAAATTATTCATATTTTGCTAGCAAATCACAAGTTAATCTTACAGATTAACTTGTAAAATAATGTTTCAGTGCGAACTATATATCAAATGCAAAAACTAGTTAGCGGTTTTAGCTATAGATTTATTTACAAGAATTTTAAAGTTGAACAACAAGGCTTTATACACCCATTGTTTTAGTCATCGATTAAATCTAGCAGTGTGTAATTCTTGCAAAGTTCAACTTCTCTGTAATGCAATGAACCATGTAAAAGAGGTTTTCTATTATTTTAATCTTTCTATCAAAAGAAATTCTGTCTTGGAGACAATGATTTTAGAACGCTGTCCTGATAAAAAGGGAAAATAACTTAAAGATATAGTTGAACTAGGTGGCTTGAAAGAATAGATGGTTTAGATACATTTCAGGAGTTGTATATTCCAATAGTTTAATTCCTTGAAGCTATAAGCAATGACATAAATAAGTTTGGGGCAGACTCCGAAAGAGCTACATCTTTATTGAAATTGGTCACTACCTTTGAATTTATTAATTCCTTGGTTGTGGCTAGAGCTGTTTTTGATGAAACGCATATAGTGACTAAGATTGGTGGGAGAGCTTCAAGATATTTTCTGATTTTTATTCTGAAGATTTGTCAAATCCATTAGCTTTAGATGCAGAGTGTGGTCTTTAGGAGGTATACTGGACTACCACTAATTATCGCATTCCAAACGTCTGATACTGTAAAGTCAATTTCATGTATAAAAACTTTTGCCAATATTTTTGTTTGTTTGCAGTTATTAGCAACTTCACCTGTGACATCGTGTTCTTATGAATAATCTTTTTCAAATCTTTGCAGATTAAAAACTTGGTCAAGATCAACTATGTCTGGAGATTGTTTGGTTTAACATTGATGTATACACATAGAGATATAGTTCCAGATAATCAAGAAGTTATCAAAAACTTAATGCAAAGAAATGGTTATGTTTCTATACAAATAAGTCAAAGTCTCTGTGACTAGGTTTATTTGTAAACATTTATACACATTTAATAGTTTAAAGACTGTTGACTAAAGCATATAAATCGCTTAAAATCTCTGTGAATATGACTTCGTTTGTCTACTATAATCACTATAATCTATAATCACAAGTTAAATCTTTTGTGAGACTTAAAGTGATTCAGAGTTCGAATACATTTTAAATTGTTATTAATTATTTAGGATGTTTTGTTGTTCGACACATTTAAAAGCCATTTTTATGTTGTTAACGTTTTCTTTTACTTATATACAAAGTTCGCGTTTACAAAAACAATTGTTCGCTTTATATAGCATATAATACAACTTGTGACTCTTGTCGACAATTAATAAAAAAACGTTATAATAATAGAAAATCACAACTTGTGACTTTTGTCATTAATTAGCACGCTAATTATTAATGACACACAACATCCCCTTTAGATCAACAAGAGCTCATACGTAATCGTTGTATTTCTGATTAAGAAGTACTCTCCTTGCATAGCGAGTAAATTGAACAGGCTGTGACTCTGTCTCACCATCTGTTGAATAGTTTTGATCGCTGCCCGTACTATTGTAATTTTTACCATTATCCGGAGGAATTATTTGAAGATTTGGATCATCATTGACAATGTGTTTTGAGCTCGTTTCGGGAAGTTTAAATAGTGTTGAATCATAATCATCTGTTGTACCGTCTTCTTTTGTGTCTACACGACGATGTTGCAGATGAGAAAAATGTCGTGGTAACGTATGTCCGTTGACATCAACTTCAGCTGTTAAACCATTATGCAATGCCACTATACTTCCTTTCAGCCATCGTTGCGTACACGGCGTTATGTGCTTGGGTTTCACCCACACTTTGTCACCAACTTTCCATTCACGACACTCTGTCATCGACTTTTGTGTTGATTTGATTTTATCGATTCCAGGAATTCGAACTCGTTTGTGATGTTGGCAAAATATTTCAAAAGGTGTGCCGTGTTTTGATGGAACGTTATTGATTAAAAATACAGGCATGGGAATACCACATTTTACACTTGCATTTGTTCTTTTTACCGTCCGATGAACTCTTTCAACTATTCCATTTCCCGATGGTTTTTCAACAGCTCGATAGATGAGCCTTATTTCCCATTAATCCCACGACATCGCATTAGGGTCAATCGAGTTACATTCATCGCATTCAGCGACAACCTGTTTCACTGTGTCTCTGGTAACGTGGATACCAGCGCGCATACATAACTCCATACTCTTGGAAACTCCCATGTGTGCTAGTGAATGAATTTTTCGAATCTGCTGTTTATCGTACTTATAAATGGTATTACATTCTTGTGTTGCAACTTCATTTTTTATCCATTTTGTTGGCACTCTTGTGAGTTCATCTGCAATATTTTTAGTTGTTGGTACCCATGTAACAGTTACATTTATGACATAATCCTCGACCAATTTTTCAAATATTTGAAGTCTTCGTCGAATTAACATTTCGCATTGCCCAGCACATTTCACAGGTTTGTCACGAGTCAATTCAGAATTTAACCAACTAAATACACTATGAGAATCAGTTTTAATAGAGACATCACTTGGATTCCATTTCAATGCCATATTTAGACCTTCAATACATGCATCTAATTCGGCAACATTGATATGCATTGCATCAGACTTTGGTCGGAGCCATGTCGCATCTTCTATCTTTCTGTCACCTTGCGTTATCACAACTCCTTTTGCCAGCGAACTTGCATCGCACCATACAGTCAGAGATGCATTTGGTTTAACATTCCATACACCTTTTGCCGGATCGCACTTTACGACTTTATCTACAACTTCCTGCATCATTTCGATAACATACTTATTCGTAATAGGTTCATCCCAACCTGCTTCGTTTGTACATCTTTTTATATAGCTGCATGCCGGTCTCAACCATCCAGCAACTGGTAGATTAGCAATCAGATTACCACATAATGAGAATATATCCCTCTTTGTGAGCACAGATTTAATAATAGGAAGCTCGCGTCCTCTCTTCGAAAACATCTCCTTTGTTAATGGATTTACTGTGACTTCTAATCCTAGTGCACGAACTGGGTTTTCGCCAAAATATTCAGGTGCTTTTGCATGAAGATCCCATTTCTTCATATGTATCACCAGCTTTCTTCCATTTCCATTGGTTGCTAGGGTGTCATCAATGTATCCTCTTGTTGTTTTTGCCAGTGCAGAATCTTGTTGGAAAACATACCGCAATATTGAGCTCATCATCACTGGTGCCAAACTTAAACCAAAGCCCAAACGTGTAAGTGCATATCGCTGATTTTTATAGATGACCGTCTGGTAAGGCCAATGCCTTTTATGCACATGAATTTGTAAATATGCTCTTCTTAGATCCACTACCGAGTCATTGCTGTTTTTACTCATGAGTCTCCACTCCCTCATTGCATCATTGATGACATCAGCATCCCTTGTAGAGGCTTTTACATACGTGTTAAGCTCACAATAATCAAGCACAGGTCTTATCTTCTTTTTATTATCTTGAATGACACACATTAACGGTAGTAGACCTTTAGGTTTCCCCACAATTTTATCGTCATATTTGATGAGTATACCTTCTTTGATCCATTCACAATGTTAGTCAGCTACATTATACTGACTTGTTCTATTTTTCATTTTAGGTTTGTTTTCCCACTCCCAACTTACAATCCATTTTTTGCCATCAAAATAAGCTTTGCTTGTTCCAATTTCAATTGTCGCAACACGAAGTTTCGATGGCAACTCAATCAAAGAATTACACAATTTCAGTTTTCCAGTGCCAATTTGTAGTCCATCACCGTCTTTATTAAGTCCATACCCATAATCATGTCGTATTTGTTTATTACTTCATTCACACTCAGAACCACCACATCCACCAAGCACCCGTTCGTTGGGTAGCATATTTTAGCACTAACTTCTTCGCATCGAATTATTCCGCCCATTGTTGCAACATTTACTACACGAATCACTTTACAGTCAGGCGGCAGTGATGATTGGTTGCGAACAACCAGTATCCACAAGCGCTGTAGCTTTTCTTCCGTTTATTACCAAGTCAATAGTAGGTAGTCTTATTTTGGGACGAGTTCTTGTAAAGATACCTAATGCGAACTTGTCCCATTTAAGTTTTCCTGGTTTCTTTGACGTTTGTAGCAGTCTTCTGCAGCATGTTTATGCAAGCATTTTTTACATAAAGAGGTACATTCACGTGCAAAGTGATTTAAGGATTCACAGTTGTAACATCAAATTTCTTTCTTTCTTCGTGTATAACTTGTCGTTCCAGTCGTCCGGTGAATCGCATTTACTTCTTCATTTACAGATAAACATGCCGCATCTAATCTTGTTTGTGCAACCACGGATGCAGTCTTGACACAATCGTCAAAGCTCAATGCATCATCTCCCCGAATAATGGCACGCAAAATGGCACCATCAGAGAATGGCAGAGCGGCAAGCAAAAACGCTACGTGTTGATCTGAAGTTATATTGTTTATTGCAAAGAAGGAAGTCATATGTCGAATAAATCGTTTTGGCTGTCCATCTTCATATTGCGGAGATAATAGACATGCCCGGTTAGCTTGTTGTTCGACACATTTAAAAGCCATTTTTTTGTTGTTAACGTTTTCTTTTACTTATATACAAAGTTCGCGTTTACAAAAAAAAATTGTTCGCTTTATATAGCATATAATACAACTTGTGACTCTTGTCGACAATTAATAAAAAACGTTATAATAATAGAAAATCACAACTTGTGACTTTTGTCAATAATTAGCACGCTAATTATTAATGACACACAACATGTTTAAATATTCAAACATCTTTATAAATGTTGTAGTAAAATCAAATAATTTTGAATTATTTGAATGAATGCAATACACCTTTAGTGTCAATCTAATTGACACTAAAAGTGTATTGCATTCATTTGTTTGTAGGATAAAAACATAAATTTTATTGCCTAAAAATACATTTGGACATAAATATATTTTTTAACCTTAAAATCCAAAGTTAGTGAAAATAAAGATTAAAACATTTAAATGTTTTAGTAAATAAAGAATTATGGAAAACCTTTCTGGTTGAATCCAAAATTAGTGAAAATAAAGATTAAAACATTTAAATATTTTAGTAAATAAAGAGTAATGGAAAACCATTCTGGTTGAAATAGTTCAGTACAATATATTATTTATCCTAATTTTTATTTCATTAAATTAGCAGTTTACTTTCTGAGGGGATTTTTTTTTTAGAAAAAATTGTTATATTGTTAAAATTGTTATATTGTTATTATTAGTATTATTGTTCAAGGAACTCTCCTGAACAATATTACTAAATAGCTTGCACATTTTTATTTTTTGTTGTTCAAAATTGCAACTACGATTCCAGGCTTATGATTTAGACAGTTTGTGTAAATTTTTAAGCGATTTTTAACAACTGGAATTTTTCTTATCTTAATCCTTATTACAGAACAGTTTTTATCTTTACTCGATCACTAGGAGGACTTGATCTTGATCCACTAGGAGGAGGAATTTTTCAACATTTAATGTTATTGCTTCCTAACCTTACCCAACACTATGTAATTTCAAATCATGAAATATTTTTTAAAAACTTTGTAATTGTTTAAAAACAACTTTGTTTTATTGTCATAATACTCTTTATCTTTTATGATTAAGTTTTCTGTTAATCAATGAATGAAAATGTGCAAGGAAAAGCAGTTTGCTAATTGATTGTGTATTTTTCTGTCATACACCTTCAGTCGTTCTGCATAAAAAATCGTACACATGAATAGGAAGGAACCTTTCCGTGATTCATGTGCTTTAAACAAATACCTTCCAGACACATACATTCTCACCTGAGGGATAAATGGTCAGAAATTTGATTTCTTTAGATTTTTTTTTTGTCTGAATTTAGTTATTACTCAATAAATCAAACTTTTTAAAATATATTAATAAAATCATAGTTAATCTACTATTTGTTTTCAATGGTTTGTATTCTTCGAATTGGCTAATAAAAATTAGCAAATCAATAAAAAGGGCTGGTGTTAATTGCCGATACAGATTGTGAAATATTTGGCTGATTAAGCCGATGCAGATTAATCTGAACATCACCAAGAATATTCAGATTAGTTTTGAATTTCCAAATTCCTTTTTTTATTTTTAGTTGACATTGAGTACATTGTAGGTATCAAGAATAGCTAGTATAGGTATGATTTTTATTAAATTTTGCATATGTTTCGTGTTAATGACCAGAATCTAGTTTATATTTATAAAAAAAATCCAAAACAATAGTTTGGGAGGAAGAGATTTTCTTAAGTTAATTTTTGCTTGAATTTCAGACTTATATTGTCTTAACCAGTTTAGCATTAAAACTTTTTTTTTTTTTTGAAATTGCGTGCTTATTTTTATAAAAGGCTGCAAACACCAAGTCTTAATCACAAAAAAAAAAATTTCAAAATGTGCAAATGGGGTGAATCCATAGGGGGAGCTATTGGGAGAAGCCATAGCGGGAGCCCCCCCCCCCCTGGTGTCAAATAAAAACCTTTTGAAAATATAAATCCGAGTTAGTATGGAGTTCATAAATAGTAAATGGGGAAGGGAGGCTGAAATGGTATCTGAGAGTACCACTGTCTGGGATGGATTGTGTTATAGCAATCGTGGCTCAGTAGTTAGAGAATTGAATTCGTAATCTAAGGGTTGCGAGTTCGATCCCTACTCGAAGCACATAAAGGTTATCGTTAAGGTTGGAAATGGAGAGCCAACTTATAAATTCTATTGTCTTTGTGGCGGTGCTCTGTGATAAGACCATTAGGACTTCTTAGAGCACTTTAATAACGAAAAAAAAGGGGGGGAGGTAATATTAAAAAAAAAATCGCCAAAGGAAAAAATAAATCCTAGATCCGCCCCTGTAATAGTCCAAAAAATACCTTAGTGGCCATCCATAAAAGACGTCATCTAAATGGGGAAGGAGAGTCGAGATAAAAATGACAAAAAAGGATAAAGGGAGGAAGAGGTTGTCAGAAAAGGACGTCACTTTATAGATTTTTTATTTTAGTTTAATTAACATCGAAAACTATGTAAAAATGTATTTTTAAGAGGATAATGTATGAGAACATTTTTTATTCTATTTTTCAAAGGTATAGCAGCAAATTCAAACATTATTGCGAGATGAAATAAATATTTTGGGGGTTAAAAATAGGGGAGAAGCGTCAATATTTTATGACGTCTTTTTCAATTAGGTATAGGGGAAAATAACAACCGGTGACAAAGAAGGGGGGGGGGGAAAGAGGTCAAAAATCGGCTGAAAAATGGTGACGTTCTCTATGGATGGCCCCTTACTACCACAGATTCTAAGGCAATTTATATTTCATATAGGTTACTCAGGGCAGGCGGTAGAGTATTTGGCATCTTAGGTGAATCTGAACCATTGCGCCTCCTCCTCCCTAACTTATTTTCACATAGGAATGCTTTAGTTATTTTATTACATTTTGGATTTACATTCGGAAGAATATAAATATGCATAATCTTAAATAAACATATTTTCGTGTAACTTTATAATATATTAATAAATAATTTTAAAACTTCACTTTTCCCGCTTTTGTTTTTGCAAATGTAGAAACGAGTTCATCAGTTCAATATTTCTAGCAATATCACATCCACTTGACAGAGTAGCTAATCCAACAAGTCTCTCTTGCTGCATAGAAGTTCTCAAAGGTGTTTTTATCAGTTTGAGTTTTGAGAAGCTTCGCTCACCGCTAGCCACGGAAACTGGAAGTGTCAAGAGGGTTCTTAAAGATATAACAGCGTTGGGGGCACAATCTGTTAGATTATTTTTCAATATAAAATTTAGTAAATCTAGTGGCAATGTACACCTTGCAAACGTGCTAAAATTTTCTATAAATAAGTAATGAAAAGGTCCCATTGTATTAATTACTCGAAAAATTTCATTCTGCATAAAATGTGAAAAAATAAAATCAAATGAAACAAAAGAATCAACTTTGATACTTTTGTTTTATTTGACGCGATTTGACTTTAGTTCTATTTGACACAATTTAAAAGAGTATTTTTTCAAATCTCCTAAGTTTAATTCAAAAGAGATTTGAAAAAGACTTTAGCAATGTTTTCAATATATTTATTTTTTATTTAGCAAGTTTTAGTGCCGCCGTAAAAAAGTTGGCCGCACTAGGCGGCCGCCTAGTTCGCCTAGTGGTTAAACCGGCCCTGGTAATACTATAGTTTTAATTTATATTATATTATACAATATATATAATAAATATATATATTTATATATTAAATTATAGTTTATACTATAAGTTATAAACTATAACTTATTTACTCACGTGCCTAGTTATTTACACACGTACCGAGATCATTACAGCTAACCACTTTTACACACCATCTCGGACATAAAGCTGTGATAAGCGTTGTTGAAAGTGTTAGAACCTAACATTTTTGCAAATTAGTCCGCACGCAACACTACGATGTTTTGTTCAAAAAGATATTGTATTAACTAATGAAAAACGTTTACAAAAAAAT